GGTTCACATTCACATGCTCTGAATAATAGAATTGTGCATTCAAAAATATTTTTATGATGTACACTGGGATTCTGATGAATCTGATGAATCCCTGCATTAACCAGATACCAACTCCCCAAAACACCATTAACTCCCTTATGGATTAGAAAATTAAACCTTTCTCAAGGCTAGTTACTCCAAATTATAATTTACACTGTAAACAAAGAGACCTTTGACTCAGGAAATAGAGAAGACAACACCTCAGACACACTGTGAAACCAAGCAAAAAGAGCTACAGCATCGGAAGAAGGAAGAGTACATGAGAATGAAGAGCAGAGTCTTCAGTCTTCATGAAAGGAGCATTCAGAGGGATGAATTAAGCCCTCTCAATTACCCCAGAATGAAAGAAAGTGCTCATTATACAAAGTTCATGTTTCAGGTGAAATAAAATTCACTAGGAGCATTAAGGGAACAAATCACAGCAGCATCAAAGTCTACTTAAAACACTGATAAAACTGGGGTAATCTTACATGTCACCAGGTATCTGCAAGTATTGAATGTAAAAGGACTTCTGTGATCTCATGGATTTCACATGATTTTTAGACCAAGATTTACGCTGCTGTTTCAGGAAGGCGGGGTATGTTAAATACCATTTCCTAATGGGTCTGGGTCTATCTAATGAGCAACAAACAAGTAAGATGCAAACATCTCACTTTCAGTTTCAATTTGCACTTGAGACAATTTCCTGAAGGTGAGAGGGAGGAGAAGGGAGTACTGATGGGAGAAGCAGCAAGCCTAATGCCTGTTTTTCTACTTGGTCCATCCTTAAAAATGCTTTTACGTGCAGAAGCAAAAATTAAAGTAATATACACAAATCCCCAGGAGTCATCCCCTTATTTCCCGGTTACAAACATTCCTGGGCTACCGACATTAAGGCTTACAGTGAAACTTTTGCAGTAGATGAAGCCTGTAGCATCCAGCAGCTACAGCAAACTCCAGCCCCTCACCCCAAGAACCAGCTCTGGCAGCTTCACAATTAAGTCAGCTGAACACAGTTCTCTTTACGCTTATGGAAGTCTTGAAAGAAATTGGATGTTCCCTTACGTACAGTGGTAATCTATGAAATCCAAAAAACACATAAACTGTAAAATTCTGGATTATTAAAAGACAAATCCTATCTCATCTAAACCCAATGTATTCTTAAAAAAAAATAAAAACAAAACAAAACAAAAAACAAACAAACAAAAAACCACCCAACCAAAACCACACAAAAACCCCCACAAAAAACAACAAAACATACACAAATCAAAACACAAATCAAATCCCCCCAAAAAACAAATAGAAATCTGTACAAATGCCATTTTTACTAGGACTGAACATTCATAACACCTACACTCACTCAACAGATATCATTCCCAAAGTTAATGACTTTTTTTCTAAATATTCTGTTGAAATACTCTAAGGTTTCACAATATTACATGACAAAGGGTTCACCATTTTACAACTCAGAGTTTTATACTGTTTGGGTGTGATTTTCTGCTTTCCTCTCTAGCTTTATAGAGAACATCACAATTTCCATGGCTGGGAAAAACGACAGCGTGAGTGAGGCCCTGAGAACAAAGGCAAGTAGAATCCCCTGTCACCACAGTAATGAAGATGTCTGTCATACATCAGAAAAGTGCACAACAGAAAATCCCACAGAAATGGATAACTTCACGGAAAATACTAACTCTGAACCTTTGAGGCCAGACACATCTGCTAACTTTGTCTATCCAGAATGCATAAGGTTGCTGAAGTCCATTCATAAAAAGACAAAGATAATAAATGCAAAGAAAGTAATTTGTAATTTGCTATTTCCATGTTAGATCTCAACCCTGTGGAGATTCACAGCATGCCTAACTTTAATTACCGAGACAGTGGCATACAGAGAAAAGGGAAGAAAAGACTGGAAGCATTTAACTAGTAGCAATTCAAGGTCCTGAGTTGGCTAATATTTAAAAATTTTACTAAAACTGACGTAACAATCAAAGGCATGTGTTAGTGATTATGGGCTCATGGTCACAGCTCAAAATGAAAACAGATCCTAAAAAGCTAATGGTAACAACATTTCCATTTGTGATTCATTTTTTATCCCCCCAGTGTCCATGACACGCAATTAGTAACAAAAAAAAAAAAAAATTGTCCCTCCCCACAAAACAGATGTGAAGGTTCCTTCTTCCCACATTATCATGGTCTTTCCAAGAAGGCTGTGACTAGCTTCACCAGGGAACAAGCAATTATGCAGGATCTCTGAGTACAGAGAGCTATAAAAGACACCTTAACATTCCATTTCAGTGACTGAAGAGCTGTTTTATAAATGGTTATGCAAATGTTTTCTACACACACCCCAAACAGTCTCACTGACTTAGATAGAACTTTCTACAACTTTATACTTAAGTTCCTCCATGGGCACCACAAAGAGAAACTCAGCAGTCGTTGAGGACTGAAGTTCCCAGCAAAATGTAAAATTCAGATGACAGCCATCATCTAACTTGGGATCCAGGGCGGAAAACTGAAATTCCCAGGTATCAGAGTTAAATCAAGATCTGTACAAAACTAAGAAATTCGGTGTGTTGGATGAGTAAGTTGATGGATAAATCAGAATCCAAAATTTTATCTGGAGTTAAGATAAAATGGCAACAGATACATCCCTCTCCAAAAGCAGGATTTCTAGTTTCTGGTCATGCGAAGTATTTAATATTGAAAACAATAGAGAACTAGTACTGAGAACAAGATACGAGTCTCATATATTGAATTTTCACCTTGAAAAATATACCAACTGCACTGTTAATTTCATGGGTACTGTGTAAGTATGGCCCTACCATGAGGAAAAAGGGTATTTCAGGCATCACAAAAATCAGTGAAAAGCCTTCTAACTAGCTGTTGATTAGCCTCCTTGGGAATCCAGCTCAGGACTAGAATGATGAAAACTGAATCCCCATGGACAAAGGGAACACAGAACCAGATGCCGTTAAGTGAGAAAGCAAGAAGAAATCCTGGTTTCAAATGAAATGTGTGAAACAGACCTATCCACATGCAGAAAACACACAAGTAAAGAAACTTTCTGATTCCTTTTGGATGAAGATACAAGAATGGGGGCCATTCACATTGCATCATAAGCACCACAGCTAAGAGGAGTTAAAAGTCGTTTCTTTCTGGTCACCACCCCACTTCAAGGAGAGAAGACTCTGGATGGGTCACACACCAAAGGGCTTTTTTTTTCTGGCTGGCACAGCTAAAAGCTGTGTCTTTGAGAAATCTCTCACCATTGACCAGTCATTCACTACATGAGAAGAGATTCAGGAACCGTAATTAGGAGCATAAGAGCAACAAGTGGTTAACACTGATATCGAAGTTAGCAACTACTTTATCAGTGCAGCCTTCATCGTGTGGACTTCAAGTCTTCTCTTATCTCACCAGAGTAACATAGAAGTTCTTACATATTTAACCTATTTTGATCCTCATTGATCCTCCAATTCCTTGACTTCAGATGTTAGATTTTAATAAGGTTTTACCCACAGGACAAAAAAAAAATGCAACAGTTAATGTGACTGATTTGCCCTTTACAGCTGGACTATGGACTGAAAGAAAATAAACAATATTTTCAGAATTTAGTTGTCACCAAGTGCAAAAATTCTGTATTTTTTTTCCATCTGTGCATTTCACAGCAGAAATAACTTTAGACTAATCTTGCCCTCTCTATTACTGCTATAAATAACACAGCACCTAATCACTACTGGGTGTTGCTGCTTGTAGGGTGTTACCTCCCTTCAAATAAATCTAATGGGATGCTTTGACTGCTTTCAAAATTACATGCAATCAGAAACATACATTCTGAGCTATGAGAAGGCATAATTCAATATTGCAGCCATTATGAGTGTTTGACAATACAAGCCAGCTGGACAATTACAGTCTGAAGCCACTTATATTTCCACAGTCCTTCCCAGTAAAAGCAAGCAGCGGCTGCAACCTGCTTCTGTGGAGCCTTGAGCACAGTATCTCATTACCTGATGATACCTGGATGCTAATAATGCTACACTCACTGTGAACTGTGAATCAAGAGGAGATAATGCTGTGTCTCCCTTACACCCTGGAAACCCTGTAAGCTCTTTGCAATCCCCACTGCTCGCTGAGAGGATACAAACTCACTTCAAGCCTGGCCTAGGAGAGGCTTTTTCTCAAGGGGCAAGGGTAGCAGAATTTCCATGGAAAGGAGACAGGACACACAATGCTGATTCAGTATTTCCAGTTGCTAACAACAAAAATAGTCATTTTTATGCTCTCCCATGTAAGCAACTTTTGTAGCTGACATATAGACATTGCACAATCACAAACAAGAAGTCAATAGGAAGAGAGGAGGACCATATTTTTGATGATGGTGAGGCATAATTAATATACGATCTACACTGCAAAGGCATGTGAGATCCATCATTTGGTTAATATTTCAGAAGACACAACGTAGAGCAGCAATACTTTTATCTTCAGTACTTCACCTCAAGTAAACAAAGCAGGCTCCACAAAAGGTCATACCACTGCACGTCTGTAACTCTGGAGGGTACAAGACCCATGAGCCAAGGCAAAGCACAATTTTTGAGTGGGAGGATTGGTTCCCAAACAACATCCTTAAGAAAAACTTGTTCCAACCTTTCTTCTATTGCCTGCTACTCACTGGCTTGAAACTACGGTTTAGTGGAAGCTGCGATGTCTCGCTTTTCATGGATACAATGCAGTCCTACTGAGGTTACAAGAGGACAGGAACACCTTAGATCATGCCACAAGATGCCACGAACCTGTTTTCCACCGTGTGCCCTGGTCACCTGCGCGCTGGCAGGGAGTGTGTGTCATGGCGATGAGAGGGGCAGGAGGAAGAAAAACGCCAGGGAAAGTTACCAGATAAAGGGAAAGGGCTAAACAGCGGGGCAGACGAAAGACAGCAGGGGAGAGCACCGAAGAAACGCAGGCATGTAACAGGAATATCCCACCTGAAAGCTGCCCTTCGCCCGCTACCAGCAATACAGGTGGAAAAGCCAGCTCAAACACCGAGGAAAAAATACCACGATGAGGACTGAAAGACAAGTCACCTGGTCGAAGGTGAGGCAGGAGGAGGAGGAGGGCAGCGGCGGATCCTCAGCCCGGTGGGAGCCCGGCGGGCAAGGTGCGGCGGCGTTACCGCAGCGGGAGAGGGAAAATACACGCACACCTACACACCTACACAAACAGACACACACAAGGAGAGGGGCGTGGGTACAAAGCCACGGCGGGGGAACGGCGGCGGCAGCGAGCGCCGTGCCCAGCCCGGGGGCCGGGAGGGAGTTCTCGGCCCCCCTGCCCGAGCGGCGGCGGGTCCGCGGACAGGCCGGGTCAGCGCCCCGCACTTCGCCCCGTTCCCACCCCGGGCGCTGCCCCGGCGGCTTTTGGCGTCGCGGAACAAGAGGGGGGGCTCGGCGCCCGGGGGAAATCCTCGCCCGCCCCGCCAGCCCCTTACCTTCCCCCGAGTCCTCCTTCCGCCCCGCGGGGCTCCGGGCGGCACGGCCGGGGCTCCCCCGCCGCCGGCGGGTCCGGGCAGGGCGGGAGCGGGGGCTCCGCTCCGCGCCGCCAACAAAGTGCCGGGGCGGGCGCCGGGCACGGGAGCGGAGCCGAGCTCCCCCTGCCGGACCGCCCCGGCTCCAGCCTCAGCTCAGCCCCAGCTCCCGCCTCGGCCCCGGCCCCGGCCCCGCGGGCTGTGCGGGGCAGCCTCGCCTCTGCCGCTCCCCGCCGCGCCTCACCGGGCGCTCACGCAGAGCAAAGATGCTGAAAGCAGCTCCCCGGAGCGGCGCTGAAATATGGGAGTTGTTTAAAGTCACCCTAAGCCTTCCAAAAAAAAAAAAAAAATTAAACAAAAAGCCACACGATAAACCTACCAACGCTCCAAAGCAAAATCCTTCCCCGGAGAAGTAGGTGTATCTAAACCACCTTTGGAAGTAGTGGACGACGAGAGTATACGTTTCCCATCCTAGCTTGAAATCCCAGATGAAATCTCCCAGCTGTTTATGTTGTTTCCATCTGGCACCACATTCCTCCCGACTCTGACAACTTACACGTGTCTTTCACTCAGCACAGGGGAATAGTCCCGTGTCCAGATACTATTGGCACGTTTACAGGTAACCAAAGTCCTCACTCTAAAGCCGTGATTTCTACAGCAAGCCACTCCCCTCCTAAAATCGGGTTGTTCCACGAGAACCTTGGTTTTCACTGATTTCACTTTCAAATAAGCTTTTGCCTTTTGTGACTCCAGATAAAAGCCTGAAAACTTTTGACAGCATCAGACATAGGAAAAGAACCTGCATTCAGGTAGTATATAGGAGAGCTAATCTGATTTTTGAGGTTCTGCTCCCGAGTTTTGATAGGATTCAATTGCCAGTCCTGAAAGACACCTGTTTGATTATGTTCCCAAAGCTCCTTCCAGGCTTCACCAAGATTCCTCACGAAGATCACAATCTTATCTAGACCAAACAGCCATTTCCATTGAGCCACTGCTATCCAAGTATGGATAGCTTTACAAAGTTTCTGTGATTCCAGGCCCTCCTCAAGGAACCTGTGGAGGAAAAGTATAAACTAATGAAAGAGCAGCTGCTTGCTGAAATTTCCACTCAGTTCCAAGAAATGAGGCTTGGCAGGTCCTTGCTTTTTATAACATTCTGTGACTCATTTACAGAGGCAGGTGAAGTCAGAGCCATCACTGCCAGAGTCACGCCACTGACAGCTTCTTTGGGAAGGACATGGATTTCACCATTTTTTTAAAAAGAGGAAAGGACCATATTGCTCAGCTTCTGTTTGCAGCTGTTTGGTTGTTGAATCTCTTCTCAAGTGCTGCTAGTCCATCCTTGACCTGGTGTTTGCCAGTAAATCTTCCTGAAATAAGGTCTGAACTCTACAAACTGTGTTATTGTGTCAGGCTCCTTGGTAGGGTAGGGGCTGAGGGCAGTGGTCAGCAGGCAGGCATGAGGCTCACTGAGGGATCCTGTGAACCAGACAGGAGAGAGTAACCCGAGCTTGCAGGTCAGGCTGGAAGAGGTGGGGCCTCACTCCACAATTGTTTAGGAGTTCACCTTAAACTGGCAACAAAACAAAAAAAAAAAAAAAAAAAAAAAAAAAAAAAACACCCACAAAAAAAAAAAAACCAGTTCAGGCAACTTCCCCTTCATGGCTTGGAGCCGGCAGAGTCCCTGGTACATCTTCTAATGGTTCTGCCTCTGCTATTTTTTCTGGCTCAGAAAGCCCTCCAAAAACAGGAAACCATAAAAAAACTTGTGAAATAAATCCATTTCTATGTACCTAAACAAGCACTGAAATGTGCAGATACCATACACTTACCTACTTTGTTTCCAAGAAACCTTCAAGCCTTAAAGAATCGAATTATGGAGAGGCCACCAAGGTAATTTGTGTGAATGAAGCTTACAGGAACACTGACATCTAAACTGACATTTCCAAACTATCCATGCCAGACACCATACACTCTTCCTAGGTAAATAATAACAGTAATTTTTACATGAAAGTGCTTACCCCATGAGAGGTGGAAGGAATACAAGAGACACTCTTAAAGAAAGGCTGGGGACTGCTTCAGTCCTTGGCAGGGATAAACAGTGCCTCTCTTCCCCCTTCTTTCCTGGATAGCAGCCTAAGCCCACCCCCTGCTCCAATTCCCTTTAACAAAGGACAGAACACAAATGCAGAAGACCACTGTGGGCTGATATTTTTGTTTGGTTTTACTCGAGAAGAAAATATTTTAAAGGAACAGAAAAAATAAAGAGAAACGTGGAAAAAAAAGTGGGATGTGAGAATGAGAAAAGGGAAAGCAGAAGGATAAATGGGAGAGATAAAGATTTGGGGAAGAATAAATTCTATTTCTGCTCTTTATGGACTTTTCTGTGGGATGTGTACAGAAGGTATGGACATTTATAAAAGTATGTTATATGATTAAGAAGTTAAAATCACTGCAGACAGGAATCCAGAACATTGCAACACAGGGGATGAAGAAGGTATTTCCTCAATGTTTGTCTGTTTGGGGAAAAGACAAAATATGCCAAAGAATTTCCTTTTGTTGTAGAACAGCCTAAAGATACTTTCCGTGCTGGGAACCTGCAGAATGACTTACACACAATGAAAGACTTACACAACGGTCTGGCAGGCCCAGCAGAGTCTGTTTGCTGACACCCCCCCTTCCTGCATGGAATGTGGCCAAGCGCCACAGCCCCAGCCCGTCCCAATCTCCTCTGCAGGTGAATGCGCGACGGAAGGCACAGTGTGGGGAACAAACCTGCAGGCCCATGGGGAGCACCACTGCTCAGGCTCTGCTGAAAAGAGATGGGCAGGGGTTCAATTTGTACAGTATTGGCTGCAGCAGGCCTGAGGATTTAAGATTAACTGCTTGATACTGGAATTTCCACTCTCATTGAAAACAGACACCACTGTATCCATAGAGTTTTCAGAAGAAAAATATACACAGCAAGCCTGATTCTTTAATTGATTTTAAGGCATGTGGAGCTCAGTGAGAAACAGCAGAATTGTTCCTGATTTAGGTCATAAAAATGCAAGGTAAACCCAGAGGAATCCAGAGCAACTGAGAGAAATAAAAGAGACTGGCTGTTGGTCCATGCTCCTCCATTCTTTATGCTGTGGAAAAGAAAAAAGATTGCAAATACAGAAAGTATTTATTTACTGCTTTTGTAAAATTATAGAAAACATTTTGCCCAAAGCTAAACATGGTACTATCTAGAAAACTATGCAGGTAAGAGGATTTGAAGAATAAGCATAGAGATTCTTCTAGTCCCAAAGTAATTTGTAGTTTGGTTGGGAGTTCCTTTTGAGTGTGTCTGGTGTTAAAATATTCTGCTTAAATATGTCATCCTTTTTGTTATAAATATATATTTATATATATAGTTAGACCATTTTTAAAAGACAATGAATGTAAATAAATGTTCTGAATTCAGATTTACTATTTGAGTAGCAAATCTATAAATAACATAATAACCACAAAACTATGGAGGTCTAAACATGTTCAGGACATTCTATAAACTTCTATATTAATTAGGAAGCTGGGGTTTGCTACCCAAAAACTAGCTTTGGGCAAACCCTCTAATATGTTTGGGTTTGATTCCACCACCACCACCTCCAAAAGAAAAAAAGAAAAAAAGGCTTAAAGATTATTAAAAGATCTCCTCTCTCCCCATTAGTCAATTCCTATGTTGGAGAGCTTGTTCTTAGTTGATTAATATGAAATTACAGAAGCTAATTGCATTTTTTTTAATAAGCTTTCTGTGGAAGGTTGATTCAGGTACACTAAGTAAAGCAGACCAGAGAGCTACCCACAATCTAAATGTGAAAAGGAAGGAGGAACTCAGTATGTCTGTAAGCCTCTCCTCACAGAAACTGAACTTAAGACCGGGGAAAACTCCTGACTGACTCATGTACTGTGTCCTAGGTACAGAGCCAAAGCAGCACAAAGAATTCCCAGGAGTCTCATTTCCACCCAAGAAATGATCCTTTGGAAGAGCTTGAGGATATGGCAGAAGATATATCTGCTGAGAACAAGGTGTCTGTCAGAGTGCAGCCACGGCATGGAACTCCGTGGAGGCTCCCAGTGATTGTGATAGATAAGACTGCCTCAAAGAGCTGTTGAGAATTACTGTGCTCAGGTTATATGAGGGACTACTCCATACTGCAGAAAATATAGGTGTTTTAAAAGAGAAAAAAAAAAAAAATCAGTCATTTGCTTGTGGTCCTTGTGGTGCCTGCATTCCAAGTCAGAGAGCATGGAATTCCACCTCCATGGTGGACATTTGGAGTTTGCATCAGTAAACATACACCTTCCCTACTTTTCCCTTAGTCTAGCTGCCAGGGATTATCAGATTTTTATTCCTTTTTCCTAATTATTGTTGCAGCCATGAGGGAAATTATTTGACTGAGTTGACTAGGGTAAATGAACTTCATCCTGAGCACAAAAATCTTCATCCTGAAGCTGCCACCACTGACAAATTAAAAACTTGCCATCCAGCCATTCCAACTACTAATGCATCAACTACAAACCACATAAATTTATGGGTAGGATTGAAGCTAAATGTGTGATGATAAAAAGCCTTCCAGTAAGACAAGGCTCCGTGACGTTATGAATTATCTGGCAGCTCTTTCTGCACAATCCTATGTGGATTGCAATCAGCCAGTGAGGTAATGCAGAGGGCCTTTCTCCCACTGGAGCCATAGGGAGTGTTGCCATTTATTTTGGCAGGAACAGAATCAGACCCAAATCCTTAAACTGTGCATTACTT